ATCTGGAAAAGCTTTTATTCTAAGATTAAATATGTATTTTTCATTATGCTTCTTTCAGCACGCTGTATTTATAAGACCAGTAATTATTTTCAAGGCCAATGCCCCAAGCATATTTTAGGGTTTATTTTATGGCATTTATTCTCATATTTAAATCTGCATTTCTGCCCTTTTCTTTTTCTAAATAAAACTACTACCAGGATGCATGAAACTAAGTTGAAGGAAATGGAAATGGATATTGCTAAAAAAACCCAAAGCATTGCTGACCTTAAACGGTTGCTTCAGGAAGCAAGAGAACGTGAACACAATGCCGATAAAAATTTACAAGATCTAAAAGAACAAGTGAGTAAAATTTAGCCAGATGACTCTGAGAATATAGAATGATTATTATTAATTTATGTCTTTCTAATGTCTGTAGTGGCAAAGTAGTTATTTTTTCTCTAATCCTTTCTTTTACAGTTTTTTTCAGTCATAGTTGCCTCAAATATATTTACATATTTTAGCCAATTAATGAGGTTTACCACATATTATCAATATATATTCTTGACTTGCAGCCTTAGGGGGTAACTGTGTTTTTCTGCTGTTCTTCTGTATGCCTTTTTTTACTATAGTTTCACTAATCACATGGAAGCCTGTAAGTACAGATACTTCCAATGGTCTTTAAAATCCTTCTAGCTTGTTCTGCAGAGACTTCTCTACTCCTTACAGGTTTTCAGGGGAAGGATTGACTTAGCCATCCTAAATGGGATCTTGATTTGTTTCCAACACGGCCTCTTACATGTAGCCTCTCATAAGTCTTTCAGATACTATTTTATGTGTGGAAGAGGTGATGTAATTTTAAAACTCAGGTACCTTTGAAAAGATGTACCACATTCTGGCTTTTAAGTACTCCAGAGATGCAGTCCTAGGACTATTCACCTAGGTCAGCTTCCACCTTCTCGTTTGTTAATATGTACGTGTTTTCTTCCCCACACTGTACAATGATCTTGTACCAGCCATTTTCAGTGTAAGGCATCAAATACAAAACTTGCAGTGTGGGAATTCATATGTATATTATGTAAGAAAGTAGATGTGTTCAATAAATAGAACTTGGAATTGATTCCTAAAAAACAACCATTTTGTTAATTTTTGCTTGTTTTCCCTTTTCTATAATGTCAGCGTTATTAACATGAAGTGTATCCCAGCAGCAAAATTAACTCAGAGATAAAAATCTTTCATTATGTGGTACCCAGATGCTTACCATTTTAGGTAGAATCAGAACTAAAGCCTATCATTAACAGTAGCCTCATGAGGGTTCATAAATTGTCACCACATTCATAAACTGTGTATTATCTTCTATTTAGAACACTATTTTTTTTGCTTTAGCATCTTTACCAAAAGGCACTTCTAGAGGCTTGTTCCCTCTCTGGTCAGGGACCTATTCTAACTTAATGACTGCAGGTCATACCTAGTCAATGTACACTCATTTGGGTTTTCACAGCAAAATTACAGGCTTTTCATATTATCTTTCAAAAGGAACTTGAACACCTAGGGATGCAAATAAGTACATCAGTAGTATTTTTAAAGCACTTAATGATTTAGGCATATCACTTCCTTAAGCATCTGTATAAATTATGCTGATGTAGCTATGTGTCTAACTTTGTTTGTAAATCTAACTTCTGAATACTTTTTTTTTCATCCTTCATGAAATATGTAGCAATGATCTATGCAAACTTTGAAAAGGCTGCTGAGAATTAGCTTCATACAAACTGTCAGTAGATGAACACTTGGTTTCTTTTTTTTTTTGATAACCTAGTACTTGGTTACATCTTTAGTATTATTTTCATTCATTTTTTAATCCTGGGTCCAAGAAAACTGTCTGAACTGTGTTGTTCATGGATGCTGTTTTCATAAGTAAAACTTTCTTCATTTTTCTTTTAAGATGAAGCTTCTCAAATATCTTCCTGAAGGTGCAAGGACAGAGCAAAGGCTCATCAAGGAGCTTCAGCTTTTAAGGTAACGTACTTCTAAGTAAATAAATACCTCAGCCAATATGCATGAAATAAGAATGACCAGGAAATGTCTATTGCACATTTCTAGTTAAAGTTCTAAAATACTTTAATAATTTTTAAAAATTATTCTAAAATTGTTTTATATTCCAGATTAACTAATAATCAATTAGAGAAAGAAAAAGCAGAACTACTGCACCAGATGGAGCACCACAGACACACCTATACAAGTGAAGATCTGGCAGCTGGTAATAATTTTCAATACCTAAAATAAAGATCTTCCTGTATTTGGAGCCTAAAACTATTTTTACTAAATACAAAGTGATAATAAATCTAAAGAACTGATTGATTTAGATTAATGCCAAAATAGTGTAAACTGTAGCAGACTAAGGCCTTGGATTTTTTAGTACATATACAAGCCTTTTGTAGAGAATTCTTAGTAAAAATCTCCATAATCAATTATCCTGAGCAAGAGACTGTAATCTTTGCATGATTTTTTTCCTCACAAGGTGTGTAGTTCATGCCACCACTTGTTTTATTAGCCTCAAAAGACTGTTTGTAAGATATCAGTCATTCACTAAAATACTCTTTTGCTTTGGGTTCTAAGCTGCTAGAGAATAACTGCCCACTTCCAGATAGCAGCTCTGTGAATAACTTAAGATTTAGCAGGCATCAGTCCCATGGGAAAAGCAGAGCACTACGGAGTAGAACATTGCCATATGACTGGAAGAATAAAACCAAAACAAACTAACCCTCTTGAATTTAAGAATACACATAACGAGATCCTAATGTTATTTCCAGACTTCCTGAGCTTAATTCAGAGAAAGCGTACATGTCATATTTCTCAGAAGTGTGCCAAAATACTGGTCACTGGACTACTGCATTCAATCACAAGAACTAGACACCACTGTCTAATTTTTACAAGAACTGAGGAAAAGCCCAGATGACTTGAATTTTTGGTGATCCCAGCTGAGTTTACACACTTCAACTGTTTCAGCTTTCAGGAGATGCAGAACTACTCAAACAAGATTATTTGTGCCATGGATTTTCATTACTTTAAATTTCATAAAAAATCATCATTATTTTTACAGGGCATAATGAAATTGTAGAGAAGGATAAAATAGCTGACCTCCAGACACAGCTGAAAGCCCTAGAGCTGGAAAAACAGCAATTAAAGGTGAGTTGCAAGGATCATCCTAGGCCAGATAACGAGTAAAATTACGGTTAGCTAGAAAGAGCTGTTTAATATCTAAATTAATATTTAATGACCAAGTCAATTTCAAACCATTATGTTTACAAAGCCTATTTTGTTTTTAGTGAATGTGCTGTTTATGGGTAGAGTTTTTTTGTCTCTAGATAACATCCTTATTATCTCATCATTTAACCTCAAGACAAAGGAAAAAAAGTTGTGCTGTATTAACAAAGTTCTTGATAAAGGTGGAACTCCTTCATTCTTTTCAATAGGAGGAGACAAAAAAGCTGAGAAGAGAATTAGAAAACTATGACCGTTCCTTTTTTGAAGAACTTGAGGATCTGAAATATAACTACAATGAAGAAGTAAAAAAAAATATAATCTTAGAAGAGAAGTTGAAGCAGCTTTCTGAAGAGTTTGGCATCCAAGTGCATAGTCCAGGCAACACTGCTGTTGATTAGGCTACTGTTTAGTATTCTCAGCATTGATACAAAAAATAAATTCCACAGCAGTTATGTAATATTAATTTGTCTGTGGTTATCTTAGAATAATACAAGTCTCTTAAAGTTACACTAGTTTGCACACACCTAAGAATGCAGAATTGGATTAGTCAACAGTTATATACTTTCATATACATCAGTCAAAATAAAAGTGAGTTTTACCTCTCCCAGCTCCTTCACAGTATCACATTTTAATTCGGAACAGTTAAACTGGGTAATACACAGGTTTCAGGTGAAGCTGAAACCTTGGGCTTATCCTAAAAGTTGAGAAACACTTAAAATGTCAGCATATGTAGCTAAGTGTGCTAAATTCCAGATTAATAAGAATAGATAATTTGCACTTGCTGTCTCATCTGACCATGCTGTTTAACTCTGAACTCAGGGTCAGTATGTGGGATGGCTGTATTTACATCCTGGGTTATTTTTACCTCACTTTTAAAAAACCCAAGAACAAAGAACTGAAAATTAAATTGGTATTTCAGCCAAACCAATGGTATTTTTGTACATAATTGATTTTTTATTTTGTATATTTTATATAGCTGGATGTATACTTTTATAGCAGAAATAAAATAAAACCAACTCAAACAATCATTCAGTCTCACCTTTATTATTTATATGCCTTATTGTACTTAATATACCCTTGAAGTTTCCTAATTGAGATGCAGTTGTAAGTGGAAATTATTAAGCCATGTCTCTTTCCAATTACTAAGGATCTCCAAAATAAAACTAGTATACTTTCTATTATTTATTCTTTTTGTCCCAAAATAGTGGAAGTGCCCATAGGATAGAGAGTAATTGGGGTTTCAAGTAATAGCATAATGCTTATGTTAAATAATACAGGGAAAAGTCTTGCCCTATAAGAAACTGTTACTACTTAAAAAAAAGTTATCAAATTTTAGACAAATTCTGGTCCCATCAGAAATATGTTCTTTACTGTAAAGAAACTAGATCCTAAATCTGAATCCTACATATAATAGCGTCATAACAATTATATTTTTACAAGTGCAACCTATGTAACTTTTCCATTTGATTGCATTCATTAACTAAGCTTTTAGAACGACCCACTGATAGACAACAATACTTCTTACACTTAATGCTGACAGTTTCCAGAAATGGGTTCAAAAGTTAAGGATTTTTCAGAAAAGAAAATAAACATGCTGGAAGCTAGATCTCGCTCTGGCTGTCAGATCTCTGTTATCTAAAATTAGTCATTTAGGATAAACTTAAAATGATACAGTACCTGGGCTGTTGCCTAAGCTGGTAGATTATTTGTAAAAAGTTCTGTGGTAGACACAAGTAAGAGGAATGCAGCACACGGGACAATTAACTTAGAAGCAGAAAATCATTTTAAGCATCAAACTTGATATCTTTGAGTCTGTCAAATCTTTGACCATCCAAGTTTGAGAAATGGTGAAACAAACTCTTTGGTTCAAAGTCACATTCATATTTAGTTCTATTAAAAGAAATTACAACAGGCTGAGAATTCAGGTATGTCTCTGCAAGCGGCCAGGGTAAATCAAGATGATGGCGATGGAGCTAAAATAAAAAGAAAGAAGATCAACTCAGCAATTTTGATAAAGTAGCACAACTTCCAGGTTGGGAGGGTGTGGGTATGTGTGGGTTCTAGGATCCTCTGCATTAGGGCACTTCAAACCATTAATCAGTTATCTGAATAATATGAGTAACAATGAAGCACAAAAGGCAAACTAGAACCAAGGTGTCCTCCACAGTTTCAGAAATAATACAAACGTGCTAATTAAAAAAAAAATCACATTCTTATTAATAATACTTGTTCCATAAGTCATCAATACAAGAAATTAATTTTTAAATAAAAGAATTAAGATTTAAAATTAATGATTCCTATACAGAGAGGCAAGAAAATACTATGTTCTCAATTACTTTGTTAGCATAATGTTGGGAATGAAAATGTTCAATGTCATCATTGCAGTGATTCAGTGGCTTGACTAATTCTACTGTCATCTCATTTGATGGAGGAAATTTATTATTAAAAAATTTGGAAAAAGAGACAAAAAATGAGTACTGTACAATACTTCACATGCTGTGAATTACTGTAGTGTTTTTCACATGTCTATCCTTATATTTACCTTGATTAAACACCCATCATGGCAGTGCCACACAATTCCTTCAACTTTACCCTCACTGCAGCTTTCCAACCAAGACAGTATGTCATTTTGCTTCAAAGTAGGTGGATTCTTTATTTCAAATGCTCCATGTGGTACCAGAAGATGTACAGGGTGCTTCTTGCTTCCTAGTCCTATGTTTAAAGAAACAAATATATTCCTGTTAGTTAACATGTGATACCTTAAAATTTTTCTCATTTTTGTTACTGTGGCTATCTTAAAAGTACTCTGTGGATTTCTATTAGATACTACAATACCATCCTGCCTTTAACAAAACCTTAAGTGTATTTTTAAGTATCAGATGCAGCTGTCTATCCTCACATTTTAATTTATTTATTTAAATCTCCTTCTCCTTTGAATAAAATAAACATGACACAGAGATTTTTACAGTTGTATGTTTTGTCCTTCTGGTCACCTCCTCAGTAACTGTAATGATACTGGCTAAATTCTTCACACTTCAGATCACAGTCAATGGCACAAACATCTTAGTTCCAGAAAATCTGGCACATCTTTTCATGAATATGGATGAATACTTAAGCCAGGCTGTTAACAACTGCATTGCCTCTTCACTGACTGTTCAACACAAATCTTCATTTAAGAATACAGCTACTGAATTTTTTTTTTTTTTTGCAGTTCTTTTTATGTACTAGGAAAATGCTTAGACCAGATATGACTGTCCTTGCAAGTTATCCTGACAGCAAAGCTCTGAAATTAGAACTCACTTGTGCTCATATCCAATTGTTTTTTTGTTATAAGGCTTTTAAAGGAAAAAGCCACAACCAAAATTTAGCTTAAATTACACTGCCTTAAAAAAATTCCTTTTTCATAATTTAAAAATTGCAACTTATGACTAATTCTAGGGGCTCCAAAAATGGTTGAATAAAATTTTCTACTTCAATGGACTAAACAGCATCAGAAGAGCAAGTAAAAAAAGTGAGGAAAAGGCACCAAGAAACAATCTTAAAAAGTTATTTTAATATTTTAATAGTAATATTTAAAACAGCTTTTCCAGTCAAAATATTTTTTGAAAGACTAAAGCAAAGCATTTTTATAGCACTGAGGTTTAATAGAGATAACTAGTCCCATGACAACTAAACTTTCTAAGGTATTTTTGGGTGACTGTTCCTTCAGCTAGCCCTTTCTCTCCCTTCTATGAAGGTTGCTACCAGAGAACTTTTAAAAAAAACTTACACGAAGAAAATGCATAGTTTTCACTCAAAAATAGCACTAAATTGAAAAAGTATTTAAGCACAGACCATACAAACTTACCATATGGATTTGCATTAATATTAGTCCCAATAAGCTCCAATGTTTGTTCTAGAAGTTCTGATAACGGCACTGGACTGATTTCCAGAAGCCCTGGGTCAGCATGGCGCTTCAATACCAGTGCTATTTCAGCCTCATAATTTATAACAGATGAGTGCCAGCAATACTGCTTACTATTTTTCTCCACAGGCACCCAACCTATGAGAAAACACTGCATTTTACCAAAGTAAGCATCTCAAGTTATTAAGTATGCACTAGACCTGTACATGCATTTAAAAAAAACAAAACAAAACAAGAAACCACAGTTAACTACAAACAGAAAGAGTAACAAGAGAAACTGTCGTGTGTCAGAAGAATGCAAATGTGACATTTACGGCTTCCTGGATAGTGAATGAATGACATTACAATTCTTTTTATTTAAATACAATAACTGCTATTTTTAACTCTGGAACTAATTCTAATTCACTCCAAAATTCACACACCCACCCTCACCCACCCCTTTCCCCAGTTTTACCTGTGCTGCATCATAGGTACCTGGCATATGTCCATTTTCATCGGGCAATGGATTGCCATTAGAGAACTCTAAGTCCTTTGCTGGAATCCAGGTATCTGGAACAGGCTTGAAATCCTCTTCAATATTCCATGCAAATTCTAAACATATAAATGTGACATTTAGTTTTCAGCAAACTGTTAGCCAATTTTGCTAACAGTTTTCAATGTTTGTTGTTTTTCAATGCAATTATTAAAGTACCATTGATCTAAACCTTGTTTTACAGACAGTAGTCCCAGTTACTTCATACAAGCACCAATATCTGTAGCACTCGAGTAGTCTACAATTAGGATGGTTTAAAGAAGCACGTAGCCTTTAAGTAGTTTAAAAGTTCAAAAACTAACTAAGATTAAAAAAATAGCTCCCTATGCCAGTTTAAACCTCTCTTAAAGCAAAGAGTGACGTTAAAAAAATTGGAGCAGGATCACTGACATTTCCCATGTTAGACTAGTTTTTCCAACTGGCTAACTTACTTTGCCAAAAAGAAGGAAAGAAATCTTCACAGACCTTTGCAATCTTTCAATGAATGCAAGAATTGTCTAAACTTTTTTTCGCCTTGTTTGCTGGGTCTTCGATCCAGTCTGGCCCATAGATAGGGTTGCCCTAGCGTTTCCAGAGAGAGAAAACCAGCATGTTACTGAGGTAACCATACACTGCAGAGTACTGAAATCAACTGTGTAACAGGCAAGAATTCTCAACTGCCACTAGAGAAATTTTATATCCAAATCTGCTATTTAAAGTCATAAGTTACACTATATGAATCTAAAAATCTATTTTAGATTCTAGATACAGTCTTGCCTAATATAATACAAAGTTTTTTACAATTTCATGGAAAGGCAAGAACCCCAGTGATGCAATGAATCACAGTCTTCTCATTTCCACCCCAACTCCATAATTCTATTAATCTTCCCCAAGGAAATCAGACGCTATTATACAAGTCCCAGTGTGCAAGGAAGACTTACTAATACATTTTAAAACTGGAATAGTTCCTGGATTGTCATGTTCACTTAAACCATACTTCATGTATTTTAGAGACTAAAATCTGTAACACCTTCAGAAACACCTGCTAAGTCTATGGTAGCTATTACTTTGTGGTCAAGATGCTTCATGACAGTTGACTTCACAACAGCTGTAAATAAATCATACCATGAAAATGAAAACTAAGTAAAGCAAGGCTTCTAGTCAGCATGAGAAATCTGCATACGGGTCTTCCTTCTTACCTTTATAGGTAGTTACGTAACAGCAGGTTCCATCCACCTTTTCCGTAGGAATTGCATTGTGTATATCTGCTGCTAATGCCTTTCCAGATATAGTTTCAGTTGCCAAAACTTTAAATGGCTGAAAAGAAGACAAGTGGCTATGTTATTGCCTTGCTCTCATAGGGCTCCTTACAGTTGGCCTCTTCTGATTTCTAACACTATCGAAATACACCCTTGTTTCTTCAACACTTGACAGTTTGGAAAATACTCTAAGACAGAAGAACCAAGGCAATCTGTTTGCTAATTCTCTCCCCCTTTCCCATTCTTGATTAGCATTCAAAGATGATTTTGCTTTCCACTTTAAATAGGGCATATAAACTAGAAGGGGTCTAGTCCAAGGCTGCAATATTTTAAGATGTGCCTTCCTGTATTAGAGTGGCAATAGAAATTCCTCATGACTAGCTCTCCCACGCTTTCAGTTTGGAGCTGAAAGTCAACAGCATTATGTTAGTGCAATACACAGACCAGTGGACTGCAAGGTGGCCAAAGCATCCTGGTATTAAATACTTAGTATCAGTGCTATCAACTAAATACTTCTGTGCTTCAAAAGAGCAAAGAAATACATGATCTGAAACAAATAGCCAACTAACAGAAATTTCTAGTAAGATATTACAGCTTCTCTAACACTTTCACTACAAACATGCAAGCAGTTGTGTTTGGATTCAAATCTTCTCCTCTACAGTCATCATACTTCCTTCTTCTCTCCCCAGTCAACTTTGTCTTTTAAGATGGACACTGTCTCTTTCAGTGGACACAAAGCAAGTCCTTGTCTGGCAGAAGTCTTGAAACAGAATGCTTTTGTTACATGACATGTCTGTTTCACATTTTAGTTATAAATCTGTAACCATGACATACAGCGTATATAAAGACTAAAGATTACATGATAAAGAAAAATTTCAGGGTAGTGAGAAAACAATCCCATTGGTTTTATCAGCACCACCCCTCCCTTTCTTCCCTACCAGTCATAACCCCATTTTATCTTTACCTAAATTTTGTAAATAACCCCAAAACAGCGTGTGCCAGTTCCAGATCTAATACCTCGTTCACTTTTCCTGTATGAAGGAACAACAGTGTAGGGATGTACCCTTACATGACCATTTTCGATGGTGCTGGTACCCTGAGTTGAACAATTACATTACTGTCCTTTGTGCAACCATTTCAGGTCTTCGGTCCAAAAGCCAATCGCCAGTGGGACCGAGTCACCCAGCTGGATTCAAGTTCACTACGCAGCTGCTACTAAAATCAGGAAACACAAGTTGGAGATCTGCAGGTGAATGCCACCCCAACCTGCCCGCGTCTCCCAGCCTCAAATTAATTATTCTGTCATAAGCCTGATATTCCTTCGACCACAAAATGAAAACAAACAAAACCCAAAACAAAACAAAGAAACAGACAAGCTCCTTTTTTTTTCCCTACGAGGCTCACAGGCGGGGACAGCAGAGTGGTTTTACACAGACTACCAATGCGGTCACGTAGGAGCGGCCTTCACTTAGAAAAAGCAAACACAACATCAGGGGGACAACATTTCTGCGTGGGGCTGAGCTGAAACGGCACCCAAAAAGCCCTTCTTCCCTGTATTTTAGGGGGAGAACCGCTACCGTGCATTTCGCTCAGAATCCGCAGCCAAACCTGTCGCCACTCGGCTGTGGCCAGGCGGCCCTGGCACGGTCGGTGCTGTGGCAACCCGCGGCCCAGCGATTTCCATCGGGCTCGTGTCAGGGGCCTACCGCCTGCCTGCCTCCGTCCCGTCCCCTGCCGCCCCGGGGCAACCTGGCGCTCCCTCTTGCCGACGGCTCCTTCTTCTACCTCGGTGACGAACAGACAGGGCACTTGGCGCTGCACACGCGCTCCGCCGCCTCATGGCCACGGCCGCCCGCTCCCGCCGCGCCGCGGCAGCGCAGCCGGCGCCCCGGCGCGCTGGCGCCAGCGGGAAATGGAGTCGCCGGCCGCTGGGGCGCTGCTGAGCGACCGAGCACCGGGGGCGTCGGGGCCAGTTCCCTCCATCGGCCCTCAGCGAGGCGGTGGCCTCTGCCCGGACCGGGGCCAGGGGCAGCTCCACTTTGCCCAGCGGCGGCTCCCACGAGAGTGGACTCCTGCCTCCATGGGTCCAAGGTCCTGCCAGGAGCCTGCTCCAGCGGGGGCTCTCCACAGGGTCACAGCCTCCTTAGGGTGCATCCACCTTCTCCGGTGCGGGGCCCTCCATGGGCTGCAGGTGGATCTCTGTTCCGCCGTGGACTTCCATGGGCTGCAGGGGCACAGGTGCCTCCCCGTGGCTGCATCATGGGCTGCAAGAGAGAATCTCTGCTCTGGTGCCAGAAGTCCCTTCTCCCTCTCCTTCCCTGAGCTTGATGCCTGAGGGTTCTTAAATATACTCTCTCTGGCTGCTGTTGCCTAGCAGGCTGTGGTATCTTTGTGGTGTCAAAGGTTTGTTCCCAAAACCATAGTTCCATCAACAAGAAGTTGGGTATTATTTAAGCCCCACCAAATGGTTTTTTTCCGTTCTGCACTAAGGAAGCACTTGAATGGGAGACTCTTTGAAACAGTTTGTTTTTCTATCCTTTCTTGGAAGCAAGAGAGATAAAGGAAGATGTTCAGCCTGGACAGATCATGTAGCAGCATCATGCTGATGTCCCAAGCTGGAGGAGCAGTTGGCAACTGTCAAAATGTAACATTCCATCCTGGCTAACAACTGCTTTCAGTTCAGTTCAACAGTTCAACCACATGGAGAAGGTACCACCTGCTTCACTCAGCTATCTTTTGTTTTAGCTACACTGTCCATCTGAGTTTCACTTCATCTGAAGGTCCAGTATTTGAAGGAAAACTACTGTTTTCAGGATAAGATTATGATTTTCCTGACAGCTGATAGCATAGCTTTAATTTAAAGAAATATTTATATTCCACCTGGTAATAATCCAGGCGTGGGTATGGGCTCCTGCTTATTGCATCCATTTTTAAGAGTTGGGGATTTAGGGGTTAATGCCGGGCAGATGGGCTTTGACTCCAGACCCCAGTGTGTCTGGTGGGATGGCCCAGTTGTAGTCACTACAGTCCAAAAGTTTTGGAGATGTTACTCGTAGACAAAGTTGTTAATATCTGGAATTCAGTGAAACCTGCCTCCAAATATTCCAATATTTTCGAGTGTGGCTCTGTTTCTGTCTAAAAAATGACACAAAAAATCATTTAGAAGTAACTGGCAACCTGGCATTTAGAGCTCTCAGCTGGGATGCCGTTCACATCCAGGGTATAAACCTGAGTTTACATAGTCAGGGTAGTGCTCATGAGCACTTGCCTCTTTGGAATTACAAGTTTAACATATGCTTGAGAAAGATACCTCAGCTTATAAGGATAAATGAATTTCACCATCAGAGATGATGCTAAAAACTGTAAACTTTAATAAGACAGTGCTATAGAACAATAATTTTATGTATTACTAAAAAAAGTCACTTGTCATGAAAGTATTACCTCTGTAGTTTTGTGCAGACATTTTAGCTGGTGCTACATTGATCAACAGAGAAAGAACAGCAGTTTATGTATGAGTAAAGAAACAATAATTTAAAAATCCATGTAGAGAGTTATTACTCCCATTAGGCTTTTGTTTGTTATCTATAAAAACAGCTGAAAGATGGTGAGCAGTGTGATGACAACAGTCTCATAATGTCAATTCCCATTTCTTCTCATTTTTTTGTTGGGAATCTTTCTGGGTTTTGTTTCTTATCCGATATTTCCCCATAGATCTATGTCTTTTAATAGTAAGACAGTACTAGTTTGCACTTATACGGCACATTTCATTGGAGATTGGTCTGATTTTCCCATTGAACAGGAGAGAAAACTCAGCCACATGTCCGTTAAGTGACTAATAGATTTTTTTTCCTCCCAGCCTCTCATGAAAAGTCTGCAGTAAACTAAGTAGACTGCCTTACTCCTTATCTAGGAACAGTTTTACATCATCAAACTCCGTTGACCTAAGTCAAGATAACTTTAGACCTATCTGGAACTTAAGATAACTTTCAGGATAATTGGAAATGTTGTAAACTATCAGAACATGGTCCCACAAAATCTTAGTTATATGTTTACAGCAGTGTGAACTGTCATGTGTTCAGGCCAGTGTTCACATTGTGCTAATCTATTTAGTCCATTTTTTGATTGTTATACTTACAATACCTGAAAACTGTTTTCTCTGGCAGCAAAACTACAGCAAGTTTTCCTGTTTCTGGGAGACAGAGCCCGTAGGCTGTAGGAGGATAAGCTGTGACTTCTTTCACAGAAAACCCCGTAACATAAATGGACTTTATTTGCCACCAAGTAACAGTGAGTAAAACTATTTTCTCAACAATTTGTTCATTAGAGTAAAGAAATAGACAAAAATGTGCTCCCAGCATTTACTTCCAGCGCTTATGTAATATATAATAAGGTCAAGAAATGGACCATGGTGAACCAGTCAGGTATGATCTGCTATCCCAGCAAGCTCAAGGCAAAGAAGGATTGCCACATGGATTATTTTACCTGTCATATTACGAATCTTCATATCTATTAGTGAGATGAAAGATGAAGTCACAAATGGCAATTTAGGTGCTGAGATCCATGGAGTAAAAATGTTGCTTAACTTGTGTTTTTGACAGATCTCTCTCATAGTTAAAATGGTTAGTATGCAGATAATCATTTAAGAGAAATTAAAAGTAGTGTGTGTGTTGGGGGAGGAGGTTGGTAGGGACACTAATAGTAATATTTGTTGATAGAGCACATGTTGTATGGATGAGACAACCCTTGAAGAGATAACATCAGATTACAGTGATGTGTGTGCAGATATATTTCCAGTTCATCGTTTTGAATAAAATTTTCAGGCTTGAGCATTGGTTGCACGTTGCTGAAGTACGGTAATAGTGTGTAAGGCAGCACACTTCTTTGTGGAAACCCCCACCATTACAAGTTGGGTTTTTTTCCTCAGCCCTCTCTAAGAGGAGCTCTTGACTATTAGGAGTCCTAGTAGGCAGCTGGAACCCAGAACAGGGTAAGAGTCCAGAGCAAAGAACCAAGACAGATGTCAGAAGCAGGAGTGAGGAGAGCAAGTCAACACGAAACCTTGTGTTCCAGAAAAACATAGCGTGTCATATCTGAGCATGTGGAGCTTAACTAACCACACAGGACCAAAGCAAGAACTTGAGTGCTGTTTCTCTGAGTGCCCATAATGCTTATAGCACAGTTCCCACTTACACAGCATAGGCCCACTTTTAGGTGTGGTGAGAGTCACAGACTATGCCCAAGAGGAACTATGAGCAACGTCCAACCAGCAGAAGCAGAAAACAGACACAGTCCTTTGACTTTTTATTGCAATATGTACAAATTCAAAGTCTGTTTGCAAATACTAAACTTGCATTTATTTGTGCTAATACTTAGAAATGTTGTTAAACTAATTTAAGTTTGTTTTGGCTTATACTACCCGGAGCTAATAATATCCTGTTGTGGACAGTGAAAAAGGCTCTATGAAGTCAGTGTTTTATCTTACACATCTCTTTCATGAGATGGAACAAATCTGATCTGCAACAGTGTTATAAAAATGGGTTTAATATGATATACATGCTGCTCATAGGCAAGCAGGAGATGCATAAGAATAACAACAACTGGAATAATAGAAAAATGCCCACACTTTCTTTTAAACTGGAAAATATATCCAACTTCTTTAATATAACGCACAGAATCCTGATTGGATCTATAGTTGCAAATAGGTCAGCTCAAACAGTATGAGTAGATTCAACATTTTTCATCATTTGTCTTTTCAGTCCATTGCATTTCCTGGCTCTTGGAATATGTTATCCCAGTACTGAAGCCATTTTGCTGCAAACATTATATATAGAGAGAAATTCCTGAGGAAAATAATATATTTTCTGATTTTCTTCTAATTAAGTGTAAATTATTTTTATGAACTACGCATTCCTTGTACCTAGTAAAGAGAGTTGATAGGAAAAAAAATATCTGCAAGTTTAAAATGGGCAATTCTGTACTTAGCATTGCTAAATTCTTCAAAATGGATACCATGAGATGATACAACTTGCCTGTTATTCAGCATGTTTAAAATATTTTCATAGGTGGGATCCTAAACTCACCCACTCACTCATTTCAATCCAGGAATGATTAATCACGCATTTCTCTATCTTGTAAATGTCTTAAAAGGGATTGGAAGAAAGAAGTTTGCTGACTCAAATGAATCTATCCACCAGCTGGAAGAGATAACCAGCCTTTTTTAAACAGCTTAGTGATAAAAACATTCCTCTTTCAAAAGTCTGTATTCAGCAGTGCCTCATCCGTCCATTCAGAGGAGCTAGTACCTGTGTTTTTCCTACTTTCTGGAGTTGGAAGGTGTTCTCTTGCCAGCCTCTGCACAAGATAATGCCCAATCCTGATAAGGATATCAAAAGTATACCTGCTAGTGTGAATGTGGATTTGATATTCTAGTTCACTCCTAATAAAGTACATCTAATGCTCTTGTTTGCAGATGTCCCATTAAAACAGGATGTCCAAGGAGGGATTCTGCATCCAGTCCTTCGTCAAGACTCACTCAGAAATCAAGAGAATATTTTATTGCCAATTCATCCTCCACTGATTATAAACCTCGGTGATGAAGAGGATGATGAAGAGGACGATGGAGAGGAAGAGAACTGTAAAAAGTTTTTTTTCTTTCTTTTATAAGGAAGTTAAATGGCTTTTGTCAACTCTTGCAATGTACTTCACAAGTGATTTATTATAATAACCACTACATTTTTATAAAAGAGTTGTTGACAAGTTTTTTAAATAGTTTTCAGCTAATCCTTAAAATGTTGAAACTGACAGTCACCAGATGTAAGCAAGGCAATTTTTTCTAACTCTCTTGTATTTTTTAGTATATATTTCAATAGTGGTATAATTCACATACCTTTTTTTATTAAATTAAGTTTAAAATGCAATCCACAATTCATATGGCCATCAAAAACTCTTCGAAATTTTGAGATGAAATTACAAGCTTAGGAGGTACTTCTTTTCTGGGAAACAAATTTTTGAACAAGGGCTGTACACACTCATCACTGAAGGTGAAGTCACAGGTTTTTTACAAAAGATAATTGTGTGAGTGAGTTACACTTAATTTCATCAACTGATTTACTAAACTCTGCAGGCAGTCTAATTTTTTTAGAGGAAGATATTCTTAAATCTAGTGAAGAGAGTCCATGCAAAACTCTTCACTAGTTTGACTGAATGTTTATGTGTATATACATATGTATATTAATATATTTAAACCTTTGACTGCATCTTACTTAGAGATACGAGATTCTTGGGGAATGAACAAATTGCACATTCCTGAAGAGTGAAAAGTGAGAGAATGACCTACTCTCAGGAGTGCACTCAGCAAATTATTGTAGTGCTCCAAGCCAAATTTCACTTTCTCCCTGCCCATCAGGTAGGGCAGCCTGCTAGAGCTTCCTAACATGTTTTCAGTCTGAATATGCCACATTAACTCAAACAATATAGAAGGCAGGCCTTTGTTAGTCTTCAGAGCTTTAACTGAGAGAGGTAAGGAGCACTCACTTCACCAGCTCTGATAGCAGACACTACAGAGTAGTAACTTTTGGCAAAGGTGTCACCCTGTCTGGTGACATTTTGAATCAGATTTCGTTGTGGGTGTAAATGAAGGATTATTTTCAAAATGAATACCTGAGATGCTTTTGAATCATTTTAAATGAACAAACATTTGCTTCTTAATATGTGTTTTAACTGCAATTCCATTATACATGAAAATACCTAATGTTAAGGAGTCATTTTTCTGTCTGGAAGCAGAGATTGCAGTCAGAAACAAAAATAACCGATGATAGAAATGAAAGTCATTATGGTATTTGATTATTAAGAAATGTTGAAGATATTCGTATAGTTATCTTGTAATCTTTTATAAATATTTCCTACAGGTGTTTCTAACTTGAGGCCCAAGACCACTGCAGATATTGAAGAGGAAAGAGCAATAAGGGATATATGCTATAAATCTGGTAAATATGAAATTTGTCACTCTTTAGTCACAGCAATGCTGCCAATACAGTAATCTTTGGGCCTTTCTTTTCCCCCTCTTGGGGCATGTTTAGGAGAGTATTATGGAATTCAGAACCCTCACAAAAACCAATCAACAAAACCTGTGTCTTCACCTTGGCAAGATGAGCTACTACCCTTGGAAGCTACTGAACAAAACTTACAGAAAGGCAAGTACTTTTAATTCCCTTGAACTGTGTTTACCACTTTTAAAATGGCTGTAACAGGGCAAAACTATTACATAGTTTGCACTTCTTTGCCACTTTTTAAATTTAGTGAAAATAAAATATTACAAATAACATATTTGTATTTGTAAGCATATTGCCAAACCACTTCATTAATTTTTTACCAGATATAGATATAGATATATAGTCGCACTTATGTGACTACCTGCATCAATTCTACATGGAAAAGGTAGAAATGGGTCATAAAGGCAATGTGTGTACTTTCCTGACATGCACAACATAGATCTTTCATATAAATTTTCTTCACAATCAAGATTTGCGTAGTCTAATTTTAACCATCCTAATGTTAGGAATGTAGTTTAAATTTCTCATCGAGGCTCTCTGTTGTAAGTTGAGAAAGACTGGAACTCTTATGGGGCTATTTATTGCATCATCAGATGCACCAAAGGAAGGTGAGATGAGTCACTTTGCCAGAGGTGCTCTGCCCTCTCTGCTGACTGTCTTGGGTGTCTAGATAGCAAAATGTAGTGATAGAGCAAACTTCTCTATAACTAAATTTAGATTAAGTAAATACCCCCCTCAAGGGTCTTGAAACGAAAGAGTTCCATTTTGTTTCAAATGCTGGACTTCATCCAGCATAGTTAAGGTCAAATAAATACAAATTCATAAATATTTACCACAGCTATTATGTTACTTCATTCATTATTCTCTTCTATTTTCTAAATTTAAAATGTTTGTAAATAAAGTAGTTTCAATAAGCTATTTCTAACACATACATTTAGTCTACAAATGAGGGAAGCAATAACAAATACATAAACATAGCTTTTAGGAAGTGTATATCTTTATCATTAGACATATTTAGAGGAAAGGATAGATATGTTTCCCCAAAGCAGTTTTTCATTTGAGTTCTCTGAGGCTTTAGGTACATCTTGAAAATGACATAAATTCATTCAGTGAGGATTCAAAAATATGATTCATGGAAAGTGAGAAACTCATGAATAAGCAGGTAGTTTATAGCTAGGTCTTTACTTTGATGCCACAGTCTTCTTTAGCCTATGTATTATGATATTATCTTAGAGAACATGAAAGTTATGCATCAGTTACACTAGACAGGATCCAAATAACTGATAAAAGAGAAAGAAGGTTATGAAACGGGAGGTTAAGAGAAATTGCACTAATCACTGGCTCATAGAGGTGGGAGGCGGAGAATGTCAGTACCATTCCCTGGGCTTACCCACAGCTAAACATTCTTTCTGCTGCCTTTCCAGGTGATGGTAACACAATTCCTACAAAATGTAATAATGCGAGAAAAGAGAAAGAGAGTTCAGAAAGGAGAGTACCAATAGAGAGTACTCCCAGAAAAGATCATAAATCCTTTGACAATGGAGGTAATATACTGTAGCATCAGCTTTTCATTGCTGAACATCATGTGGTAAATAAAATAACCAAAGATGCATGCATTAAACTTCACCATTTTACATTTGAGTTATTCTTTGTTCTTTATGTTCTAGACACTCTTTCTCATGCTGCACCATTAATTATAACAGTCAAAACCACTGTTTATGATTATGTATTATGCTTATCTTAGGATTATACTGAAAAAAATCCTTTAAGCTGATTACAATTGACTTTTTTCATACTGAATTTTGGGACAGAAAGGATTCTGTGGAGTTACAAAAAAGCAAGTGTAGAGATGCGCACATGATTAAATGTTTTCAAAAACCATTACATTTGTGAGACTATCCCTAGTTGAGGTGAATAAGCTTTAAGTTTTTCAGTTATCTTACAGAGAAATAACAAAGCTGCAGTCCTCTATCTTGTGTAACAGGATCCTATCCCTCTGCGTAAACTTGGTTGATGTAGATGAAGACACAGTGTTTTGGCCCTTTGAGTTCAGTATTGAATCGTCATTAAAGCTGAATAATGCTCCATTCTCCTTGAATTTACTTAGTACTCGGTGGTATTCAATCCTTTTTCTTCATAAATATTTATTAGTGGTAAAAATAGTAGTAATTGTTATAGTATTCTTTTTTCCCCCTTAGTTTGTCAATGCACTACCATGCCAGGGCTACTTGCTCTAACTTGGAGCAAACTTGTGTGGGTCTTGTAGCTCCAGAACTTTATTGGACAGTAAAAATGTATCTTATGTGCTACTTCTTTTCCTGTGACCTTTATATACAAATGTATCTTTCCTTTAAACATTCTTTATGTTGATAGAAACAGTTACCAGTGGGAAACAATGCAATAATTAAATCTCTGTTGACACCTGTATGTATTCAAAGCTTTGTTTTCCCTCCTCTTATTTTGTGGGCTTTATTGAATCAGCTATTTGGTTGTTGTACTTTTTTATTGATTTCAGCTAAAACCATGCGATATAGAAAGGACACTCTACATTGTTCACCTTTTTCAGGGTGCTCTTGAGCATAGATAACTTTTTGAGACTCCTTTCCTCCAGGAGGTGGTGGTTCTGGAACACAGAGGAGCACATTTTTTGATGGGACCAGATTTGAGGCACCACTACCTTGGGAAAAAGAACGAATTTCATCCAAGTATTCCAATGTGAAAGGTAATCCATTATTATATATTTCCAAATTTTTGTATTTTAGATCATTTTCGTTCCTCTGCAAGTGTGGTGGGCATTATATATTTTGTGTGAAACCAATCGGAATTGAAATTTCCCATTAACAGTGTGATTTCTTTCACTGCAAGATTACAACAGTCATTGTATGCTATGGTTTGTTTCTGCTTCTTTTAGCTAGTTTTCATTGAATCTGTTAGATTCAATGTGGGCAGGATTAGTCCCTGCGTTATTAAAATCTTTGATGCTCAAGTGTTAGATCACATGGAGCACTGTGCACTTTCCAATTCTGTCAAGTAAAACAGATTTCAATGTAGGTGGTATCTCACAGAACATGGGACTTAATAGAACCAGTAAAAATATAGTTACACTTGTGATAAAGTATGCCTATTAAAAACTAGTCACATACAGCAAATTAAAATACCTACACCAAAATACTTTGATCATAAGCTTCGTTCTTTTCCAAAAGAATTTCAGAATTTATTTGTCAATGTAGAATATGTATCAATATGATTATTGTATCAATCTGTAGGTAGATTGTTACCCAGTTATTTCTTGGCAGTTTTAGAATAAAAAGAAAAAAAAAAAGATTTTGTCTTTAAACTACCCCATAAACTAAAGAAAAGGTAGAGGATTTCTGCCACATTCTGGCCTGAAATGAGAGAAACCAAAAGTGTTTACTTACATTAGTGGGAGAAAAGGAAGAACAAAGCCACATCTTCCTGAAGAGTAGAAGGGGCCAGGAGAAGAGCACTGTTGTTACCTTATACTGAAACTTTCCTTCTGAAGTTCTGTTTGTAGTTTGAAGTGAGCTTATCTATGCAACAAATGCTATTGCTATTTTATTCTCCTCATTATGTATTTTGTTATGTTCATGTACTGCCCATGTTCAGGATGTATCTAGATGCTACAGGCAGAAATCATTCACAGTTCAGCCAGGTGTCCTTTGGAGTGCATGGCGTGGTCTCCATGGGTTCAACCATGGGTGTTCCAAAGGTCCACACATCACTTATGAAATGTAGAGAAAGGATGATCTGGTCTTTGCCTGTAGAGTTAATTTTTGAGTTGGCTTTCAAGATTTCTTCTACTAGAGGGAAGAGAGGCACTTTTAATTTCTCTTTGGAGAATGATACTTACAGAATAATTAACATGTGAAACCATGTTCTGCCCAAGACAAACCATGTATGAGGTGGGAGATTATGTTTTCAAAACACTACAACAGTTTTGGATAAGAACATTTTGTCTGCTTTCTAAAAAAGTAAATATATGTTATTTTAATTCATCAGAGACAAACCACACTGAGCTGGTAAAGAACCATCGCTGTAAGGAAGTAAAAGAAAATAAATGCATTTCTGAGGAGCCAAGAAATTCAGCTAATACAGTAACTGGCAAAGGTATTTGCAGAAAACTGCTGGTTTATTCATTTTTATTTACTAAACTGTGAGATGATTTAGCACTACCTAGTTAGTTTCTGTTCTTAGTGTCAAATGTGGACAGTCCATATTTGGATTGGACTATCCACAAAGAATATTTTTTTAATTTTATTGTCTAGCCTCCAGTCTCCTGCAATATGTCACATTTTGAGTAATAGCACAACTTTTTGTTTGTATTTTCACTTCTAGGAATTCAGACTTTGGACCCCAAAGTAAAACCAAGGTACCAACAAAGGGGTCAAAGTAAGAATGATGAAACTGCTTCTTCCAGTCCTTATGGGAAAGAAACTGGAAGATACACTAATTTAAATTCTCCAGAACCTCGACGATCAGCATATGTAGTCTATCGTACAGTCACTCAAAAACCAAAGTTCAATGGATCTACAGGTGGGCTCCTGCTTATGCAGAATTCTTAAAATGACTGTCTGTATTGTGCTGCAGTCAATTGTGTCCCTGCAGGTAAACATGTTATTTATGCCTAAATACAGGTATAATTTGATTAAGCATAATTTTGACAAATAGATTTCAACCATATCCATAGACACAAATGTAAAGATTTATAAAGCTTTACAATTTGTCAGAAAGAAAATCCACAAACAATAATTGAGCCACCTTCCCAGCAGGAATTCTTGAATGCAGTGATGTACTGATGTGCACAAATATACAGTTACCAAGTTTTACAGCATCTTTTATGTGATTTATTTTTTCCAAATATTTAGTAAACTTTATTAGGGTTAAAAAACCTCCACTTTTAACTTCTTATTTTATTCTAACTAATGATAATAGAAGTAATTTTACAGTAGAATTTATGTTTTGTCTTAAGAAATATTTCTTATTCAACTTTTATTGTCCCAGTAAGGTGTGAAAAAATGACTTTGCTTTGCATAGTATAATTCCACAACTAGGATTTCACCAGAGTTAAAGATTGCTACAGATTTATATTTATTGTCATTATTTAGGGTTATTTTTCATCTTGAATAAACATGGGTTTGAGTCTTATTCAAACTTCTCTTACCTATTTAAATAGAGTGGACATTTTTGTGATTTATATTAGTATTATTTTTTCACATTGGTTATGTTGGACAAAGGACTGAATCCCTTCCTCCTCCCATTCATGCAGGATGATATTTTCCTTCATCTTTTTTTCCATCTTTGAAATACTCTACTGTCCTCTTGATGATACATCCTATGTCATTAATTTGACAAGAAACCTACAGGTGGGATTCTGAGCCTTACATCTTTCTTTCTGGCAATCTGTTTTGGACGTAACTCTGATTTTATAACTATTTTTATCTTTCTGATAGAGCTTCGTACATCATTTGAGCTTTATTTGCCTTTCCACCTTCTGTGTCCAGGGTTTCCCTGGATAATTGTATTTTTTCATCTGTCATTTTGTCAACAAATTCAGTGGGAAATAATTTAAATAACCATAAGTTAAGAAAGTGATTTCATCTCGCCAGTTTCAGCCATCTTTTAAGCTGTATTGAATCTCCATCTTGAGGTGACTCCCTGTCTTAATTTCTAATAACAGTAACTTCCTTCAGACAGAGTAATGCCTACTTTAAGTTGAATAAAGTTAAGTGACATGAATTCCAACATCACTGCTTAGTCTTGAGGACAAAAGCTGTGTGTTTTTTGGTTTTTTCTCTGAATGGTTGCTTTCATTAAATGTGAACAGGTTGGTATAGAGATATAGAGAGAACATTGTTAATGTGAAGAGTGCATTTTATCAAATTTCCATGTTAAAAAAGGATAGAGCATTTCAGAAAAAATGGTAATCAACATTTTTTTTGTAGGAGCAATCATTAACATTTTTACTGCCTTTCTTTCTAGCAGTACCTGAATCATATGGTCAGAAATGCTCAAAACAGAAGAATCAGCCTGACAACAATAGGAGATTTTGGACACAAACAGAAAACTATGGTAATACTTACATGTTGTGCATAAACTGAAAATTTTAGGATGATTATTAAATTAATAATTTGAGTTATTGAATTAAGATAGAACTATTTTCTGTTATTATTAAATTAATATTAATAATATTAATTTTAAATCAAATTTTCTAGAAAGTGGCTTGTGATTAGGCACCATACTCTGAGGCACAATCAATTGTCTAGCACAAAAACATAATATAGCCTTGTGCTATGTTATGCTAAAACATATGTGCTAAAACATAATCTGGCCTTGTGAAAGCACTATATTATAGTGCTTTCCCAAACAGGAGGTTGGATTATGGATTAGTTTGATTAGTATGGATTAACAATTGATGCCTTTGGGAAGATCTTCAGCACAGAAACATTCCCTTTGTTAAAACCAACGATGTCCATGGCAGAACCACCTTATTTGGAAGATCCTGTATCACAGAAATGCTGCAATATTACAAATGATCTTTAAAGCATTAGAGAGTCTGTCTTTAATATTAGCTTGTGTTTCAGAGGTGAAATGTTATTCACCTGATGCATTCATTGACACTCAGCTAACGTAATATTTAATTCACATATCACACTAAGAGAGTCTTTCCTAAAATTGTGTCTGAAATAAAGAAACAACACGTATGTTTTCCCCTACAGGCAAATATACTTCAGGATCTTCTAATTCACCAACTTGGAGAAAAAGAAATCCACAGGCAAAACCAATCTCTAAGTTTAAAACAACCACTCAGGTAATTGATAAAAATGGTTTAGTCTTTTTAGGTCAAGTGACATGTCTCCTCACACCTAGAAAATGTAAAGTGCTTGTAAGACTTGCCCAGTCAAAACCTGCAAGATTCTAATCAATGTTAAGCAGTCTGAAAGAGTAGTTTTGTTTGTTTGCAGACATGTACATTTGCCTGTATAACTACCCTGTGATTTCTAAATTTTTTTACAATAATACTGGTATGAAAGCAAAATGTGTACCTGCCTTTATCCAAAACAAGTTTTGGATTCTAGTACAGGACAAACACAGTAGAGACTATATGAGTGGTGTTTTTGTTTCTCTGCTGGATTGTTCATGAAGCATCAGCAATGGCTGAATGACAAGCAGCTGAGGTCCAAATTCATAAAAGGACTCAGGCTACAAAACATTCACAAGACACTCTAAGGACCATTAATGCATTTTACAACTGTCTTGAAAGCAGAGATTAGAACCTCTATCTCATGTTTACTGCTTAAATCTTTCTGAAAGAGTATGTAGTTTTACTCTAGTAAATTATGTACAAAATGTTCCGTATATCTATTTTGACAGCAGAGCCAAGAAGACATGGAAGGCAATAGAAAAGGAGAAAAAGAAAAATCTAAAGGAAAATAAGGAGATTATCAACTGGAATACAAAAAGATGATGAACCTGCAAATTCCAAAAAGAAGGTGTAGGAATTACACTGTAATGTTTCTAAGCTGGCTAAAAAATTTAAAAAGTATACTCTGCACAGTCACATATAAAGGTGTTTAATATATTCACTAAGTTTAATCCATTGTGAAAATTTGGCAGTTGAAGTTATTTTTACAGATTATGGCTGTACACCAGAAGACTGACAGTAATAGATATCCATAGAGAGTAAAAATATCCCTAAGCAGTCTTCCCCTTTTTTATTTGACAGATCTTTAAAGGCATAATTCCTAATATGAATAAATACTATTTACTTAGCAGTTTCAGAAGACTTTTGATGTGGACAACAATAGAATGTAGCTGTTCTGGTGTAAAAGCCATATTCTTAGATGGCTTAGCTGTTTACCAGATGTCTGGGGGCTCAGTCTGAATTTGATCTTGAAATTTTGCTATTTTAGCAGAGAAACAGAACTGTGTTATGAACTAAATGAACTTCACAACAAAACTCTCAGAATTAAATGAAATATGTATTTGTACACATTTTAAACTAAAATATGAAGAGTTGAGTAAAGACTGAGAGGAAGACTGATAAGAATGAAATTTTAATATTGCTTCCTGGAGAAACAAACTTCATACTGAGGTGTTACATATACGTGACTTCATATCTTTATCTGAGATGTTTTTCTTTTTTTTTGTATTTGCCTCACCTTTGGTCATTCTTAGAACATAATCAATTTTTGAGAAGAACCCTTCAAACTTCTTTCTGTAACACTGACAATTACTGTCCCATAATTATCTTGGTAGCACCTGTAACTCAGTATGAAAGCACAACTTTGGAGTCTTTTATTCATTGTGACTTCTCAGAGCATGAGGATGGATCAGATACCTTCCAGGGTACTTCTAGATGATATTATTCTCTCATTCCATGAGAAATATAGTCATATATTTCTCTGTCCTACTTTACTGAAAATATCTCAATAATGGAATAATTTTTATTCTATTTTGAAATTTATATAGGCATCACTTTTCTTAACTGAGAGAAGAGTAGAAAACCCTAGAGTATCTAGTTTAGCTAAGTACAAGTGTACAAAACAAGAAACATGTTTTTAAATCGAGGAATAAGGTGTTGAAAATGTTCCCAACACCCCTAATTAAACACTGCATATGCAGCCTGTTGGTTCATGCCACACAGATGTCTTACCACAGGAGAAAATCAACCAGCTCCTTGGAATAGGGAAACCTGCAGGGAGCTCCTGCTTGGTACAGGTGATTACACCCCCTGCCTGGCCTCACCTTTATTTAGCAGTGAGCAAGAAGTTCTCAGGTGAACATCCTTTCTGTTTGACAGTAGGAATGAGGAATATAGTTGGCTTCTTTGGGAAAATCTTGTAGGAGTTCCAATGACCAAAATAGGGTAACTTTTCCATGGATGGGATCTGCAGGGTATGCTGGGCTCTGGTTAGAGGTCCATTCAATGCTGCACAATTTGGGGCTCCCAGCATCTGAAGGGTCATACGATCTATACTATCTTCCTTTTCTTTTTAGTTTGGTCTCAAAAAAACCAGGACCTTGAGAGATGCTTTACAGAATCTGAGCACCTTACTGTCTGGGATCACAAACAAAACTCCTCCTGGTTCAACTTTATCCACCTCCTTGCCCTGAAAAGCCAATCCCACAAGCCAAAGCCAAAAGAAAATAATTTTCTGGCATCTTAACATACTAACATCCCAGCAAATGATTGGGCTAAGTGTCAGGCCCAGCTCAAGGAAAAGACAAAGAAATGCAGGAGGAGGTGTGGCCATGAGGGCAATTCTTGGCTGATCCTGGGTTGTGGAACGACAGCCTCAGTACATTATCTCTTCCCTTTTCACTGGAGCTTCCTGTAGAGAAATTACAAATACTGTTCTTTTCTCATCACTTGCTCAGAGGAAGTCACAGATACTAAGAAATATGTCACCATTGTCCACTTAATATATGGCTCAACAAGATATTAACAGTTCCTGTGAGGTGTTAACTGCTCTTGATGGAAATTCGAGGAACAGAAAGAGATCAAGTGCTTTGAGTGATCAAATTCTTATTTAAGATTTCCCTTTCACAGCTTCAAGGACACTAAGATCCTTTTAAATAATAAAAATATATGTGTGTTTTCCAGATCACAGACATTTTCTCTATTATATGTTTTAATCCGCTCTTGCTTGGTCTTCTTTGTCATTAGGGCCTCAGCGAGGAGCCAAAGGAAATTGAGGATATTCAGCATTTTATGCAGCGAGGCCCTAAAGATTGCACTTCTTTTACATTTTCTCATAATCACTGTATGACAGATCCCCTACACTTATTTAAGCATATAGTACTTGAAAATAAGTCCTGAGATAATGAGCCAAAGATCAGAGGCAGAGGGCTACTGAAATAGAGTTGAATTTGCCCCAGTATTAATAAGTATGCATGGCCATAATCTGCTGCTGAATTGAAAGGCCCAGAGGAAAGAAGTGATTTGTTGATTTCACCCTATACATGTTAAAATATGTTAATGTTTTTCCAAATGGTACTTCTGAAAACACATCAGACGTCTAGTCTAGATGAATCATATTACTTAGTAAAAGGAATAACAGTGGTACTACCTGTGTTTTATCAAAAGTTTGCAAAGCTTCCAGTCTGAGAGTCTGCATTCCTGAACAAAATTATATGGCTAAATTAAAACCATTACCTCCTAGCATCTTAGCAGCTCTAATAATTTAAATAATCTGTTTATTAATTAACTCAAAGTCCATCTCAACACTGGAAGGAGAAAAACATTGATGGTTACAAAAGAAAAACCTAATTAAATGTTCCTGGGAATTGTAGGCATTGTTTAAAAAAAGATGGTTTTCACAGTTTCCATTTGACCTAATGTCTTCAAAGATTGATATCCTTGTTGTTGCTATTCATGCATGATCATAGAATCATAGAATTATCAAGGTTGGAAAAGACCTCCAAGATCAAGTCCAAGGCTTGTTAATGAATTTCCACTTGAAGGATAGAATGTGCTTCTTACATCTTCACAACACTTTCTGCTCCCAAGAAGGATCTTTGAAGATTTTGAAGATTATAATGCCTCACAGGAGTATGTAACAAGCACAACATACTGTAACATGAGCCATGGTAATCCTATTGACTTCGATAGAATTACTGATATTCTTAAATTCAAGTGTATCTTGATTGATCACAGCAGAGTGGCTTCCAAGTTTTTCGTTGCAGTATGCATTGCAGCCTGACAAATTCATGTTGCTCTTGGAGATGGATGAGGATGTAAAATGTAGCAAGACTTTTAACTTTTGAAGCAGAATTTGCGAGCTGGGGAAATATAGTAGAGAATTGTATGAGGAATAATAAATTATGGAAATGTTACAATCAGTTGCAAGTAATAAAAATTAAATAAAAAAATAAAATTTACAATAAAACATGCCTTGTACCAGCTCTTTCAGTTGGGCAGTGCCAATCAAAACCTTTGTTCTGTTGGCAAAGGAAGACAATGAAGGGTACTCCTTAGTAGGAGTGCTGGTGAAGAGGAGACAGAACTCTTAAATAGCTTGTGCTCATAACAGACCATTAATATACAGAAATTAAATATTTGTTTTGAGGTAGTTTTAAGTTTATTCCATTATGTTTATATCGGTAGGTCTTTCTCATAGGCCAAAGCACATGTCAGCAAGAATAGTGTCAGTATGGTTTGGACAAATGGATTGCTGAACTAAACACATACTGCCAGCTGTCAAGAGAAGTCTTAAGTCCATTAAAGAAATAAAACTGAAAAGTGTGTGGCCATATTTTTGTGTCCAGTATAAGGAATTGAAAAATATGATAAAATATTTTGCAAAGTACTTAAAACTGGGTCTTTGGAAGAGGGTATTGTTCAATATTTTGTGAAGTGACAATGATGTATTTCATAGTCAAAATGCCACATGATGGTAGTGCTGAGATTCCTGATACACTAACAGTAAAATTTCCTTCAGGTAAGGCAGCTGCAATGTTTCAATTCTGGAAACTGGCAGATGTTTAACATTTCTTAACTTCAGGCTGTTTGATACCTGCTGTTTGATTTAAGGCGTTAGAAAAACTACCAGCATGGCTTGAAGTGAAGTTGCTGTAGAATAAATAGGCACAACAGCTGAACTCTTTTGATTTACTATTGTTTTATTTGCTCAGAGTCCACTGCACTATTTTAAAGTGACACACCTCAGGGATTCACAGCAGACTCTCTTTCCCTTATTCCAGTATGACTTATCCAACATTTGGTTTACTGGAAAAAGCTGTTTTAAGAACCATTATTTTCAAATCCCCATGATGGTACACACTACAGTTATTTAAAAACCAAGCGATAGCAGTGCATAAGATTTATTCTAATAGACTAGCAACCTCTTTTTATTAGATTACGTAATGGAAATAGGTTTTCACTTACCAGATCATATAATTCTTTTCTCAAGAATTTGAGAGTGCCTCTCATCAAAGCCAGTCTTGAGAAAACTACGTATTTCCCATGTAAACTCCAGGCAAGTGGAAAAGAGATGATGTCCTGAATAGAACGCTTCCTGATTCTATAGATCTATGTATATAGATAGATATGGACATGTCTGTATTTTTTTGGAGTGTACACAGGAGTTAGCAGGCCTTGTTGTAGAGCTTTAAACTACTTTGGAAGGGGGAAGGGGACAAAACCAGGCTCACCAGTGATAAGTGATGGGGTATTGTGCCAAAACTTGAGAAAACAAGCACTAATGGGATCCCCCATTCTGCTTCACCAGGTGTTGGCTACAAAATACCACACCTGAAATGTTTCTACACTAATGCACGCAGCATGGGGAGCAAACAAGAGGGGATCAAAGCTTTGGTCCAGTCCCAGAGATTTCACATCGTTGGTACAAGTTAAACCCGGTGAGATGAGACCTGTGATTAGAGTGCCCTGTTGGATGGTTACAGGCTTTTCAAGACAGTCAGGGCAGAAGAGGCAGAGGGGTGGCACTGTGTGTAATAGAAGGATTGGAATGTATGGAGCTCACAGTTGTCAATGACACAGTTGAGAGGCTCTGGGTAAGAATCAAGGGGCAAACAAATAATGGAGATGTCATCATGTGAGTCTGCTCAGGACGAGTACACCAACAAATTATTCTTTGAGGAACTAAGAGACACTTCCAAGGCAACTGCCCTCATCCTTATGGAGGGTTTCAACTTGCCAGAAATTAACTGGGAGCATCACACAGCCAGTACAATCCAGGCCAGAAGATTTCTAAAAAACCTGGGTGACAACTTTATGGAACAGGTCCTAAGGGAGCCCATTCAGAGAGATACTCTCCTTGATCTGCTGCATGTCAACAGAGTGGATCTCGTGAGCAAAGTGGAG